ATTGAATGAAAAATATGTGATAGTTAACATTTTATGCAGATTATGAAGGAATTGGTACTTTTAGAGAAGTTCTAATAGTAGGAATTAACTACGTTCTTTAACTCTGAGTGGTACAATATCAATGCTTTTAAAGTACGGTCAAAGCATGAGTTTAATAAAGTTATTAATATAGAATGGGAGCTTTCAGTTAGAGAAGTCCTAAGTCTTGGCCTTTTGGTGCAGCTTGGCATAGAGAGGGAGTTTTAATAACTCTAAGTAAGGAATGAAGTACATGTTCTCCAATACTTGAAGAGAAGCTAATATGTCTAATGCGCTAATGTCATTTTAAAGCGCTTTCTTGTGGGTAATGATATTATAAGTGAAACGAGATCATCTATCAGGTTCCACTAAAAAGTGAAAAGGAGAACAAGCCGAATCAACCGCGTGACTTATTCAAAATTCGCCAAAAGAAAGTTTTTTTTGTATCTACGGTGATATATATTATGAAAGGGCAGATAACCTTGTGGCTGAGTGTAGCGCAAATATAAAACCGGTCATGAGTACGCTGGAGTGAAGTCTGAGGACGACTTATTCTAATGTGAAACCGTCTCCCGCAGAGAGTGAAAGGAAATGATTTTATGAACTTTCAAAGATTGCATTTCTTCATTTTTTTGTTATGAACTTCGAATTTTTTTTCTTCAAGATATTTCTGTGCGATAATACACGTAAATAATGCTTGAGGATGTTTTTATTTACGTGAAATTTGAAAAGGCAGAGTCTTTACAACCGCTTATGTATGAAACCGATCTTGTGGATGATGCAAGAGATGGCATGAATAAATCATTACTTTATTCTTTTATGTTCGTATCATCACAGACATGAAGGTGAAACCGCTACTAGTGGAACTTAGCAAGACCAAATTTTTTGCTTTTCAGTTTGCTAGAACAATTCACAAAACCGATTTTTGATGATGTAAACTTGTTATTCAATATTATTTATATTCTTGTAATATTTTTTGATAATTTCCATGCCTACGACAGGTTTTGGATCGTGCTGACGCCGGCGTAATGATAGAGTCGCACATGGACCAATGAGATACCGTATACGTCC